ATTACAAGACCACGGCGCCAGGGCAGTTGGTGGGTGTAACGCCTACATACTGGAAGATGGGGGATCTGGGTGGAGAAGGTCCAAGTCCCAATCCGAGCAGGCGTGGAGTTCTACGCTCCGAGTCCCACACACCTGGGTTCCTCGGCCGGTTCCTTCATGCGTGAGGCTCGTCCAAAAGTGCAGAGAGTGGTCTTAAGCATGGCTGTGGCTGGCTGGGGGTGGGGAGGGAAACTCAATCCACCCTCCTCCAAAGGGCCCTGGTGAGGACAACCAGGCACAGAGGCAGGAGACTCTGTCTATAAATCCATGGATTTATATTTAAGTTGCTATTAAATTGATATCTTCTACTACATATAACTTCTCTTTTAAGGATCAGGAAACACTTACATTCTACTTGTTTATTTTAATAGTTAAATTTGTTTCTACTTCATTGGACTCCATTGCCCTTTATTCATCCTTATTTTTCATGTGATGGGATCCCACGTAAGAGACACCTTTTCAACAGTAGACACAAGGACCAAGAATATTGCTCCGTGGTTGGAAGCCTGCCTCATGGGCTGAGGAAGAAGGCTGCTGCGATAGAGAATGGATCCCTAAGTCAGTGATGGTTGGAGGGATCGTTCAGGATGGGAGATATGTGCTGAAAATAAATAAAGGACAAAACATGATGGTCTCTTAGTATCTGTATTGCAAACCAAAATGCCCCAAAGTAGAGAGAAAAGAGTAATAGGGGAAATTGTCTGCCATAGAGGCAGGGGGAAGGTTGGGATGGTTGGGGGGGGAGGAGATATACTGGAGACATTGGTTGTAGGAAATGTGCACTGGTGGAGGGATGGGTGTTCGATCATTGTATGACTGAAACTCAAACACGAAAGCTTTGTAAGTATTGCTCATGGTGATTCAATTAAAAAAGAGACCTTTTGCTTCATCTCTGGATTATTTGAGGTGTTCATTTAATGCTTTTCTTGAAAAGAAATATGTGCTATATATTATATATTATTAAAAAGCTAAAAATATTACAAGTAAAAATGTTTCTAGTTGTGTATAAAATTAGGTCCAAATCTTTCTCCCTTAAAATTTAAGACTATGACACAATGATCATTCTAATTCTTTGCTAGTTTCATTCTTACAAAAATTTACAGGATTTTCACTCTAGTTCTGCCATTCAATCCCTTGCCCAGAACTGAAAAGGTTATACTGCTGTACTTTCATTTGCTATGTGGCTTCTACATGTAGACCAAGTCTCTTGTAAGGGTCACTACTTCTCTAAAGTTTTTTTGCCAATGTCAGATCTTTTTCAGAAGTACACGTTTACTCTGAGACTTGGAATACAAATGCTTTCTTGTTCTACAGAATGTTTTCACAAGTCCCATATTGTTTGCTTATTTTTTCTCCCTACTTACAGATGACTTCTTGTGATATCAATATAATGCTGTAAGTCACAAAAGATACATTTATTAAGCCAATGGTGCCTTGTCATATTCTTAACTTTTCTCAGAAACTCGTGTCATAAGTCATGAGAGATGCATTTATTAAGCAAAAGATGCCTGACATATCCTCAACATTTCTCAGAAACTCGTAAGACTGTGGACACACCATAGCACTTTCTTTTTTAAAAAAATTTTTTTATTTTATAAAGTAGTTCACAATACTTGATTACATTTAATATTCAAACACCAATTCCACCACCATTATAGCTTCCCACCACCATATTGCGGATGTTTCCACCCCAAACCCCAATCCTGACCCAAAGCAGAACCGAAATAATATATTCTGTATTGTTTATTATGAAAATCTGCTGAGAATGTGAAAAAAAGTATCCTTAGAGGAAAGAGTGTGAGGATTGTTGTATTTCACCCAGGGGCCATTAAGCCCTTCTATAAGAGATCACTAACATGTTGTTAAAGGTTGAGCCTTGTGTTATATATATATATATATATATATATACACACACATACATATATATATACACATACACACGTATATGTATATGTATATCTGTAAAATATATATGTATGTGTGTGTATATATACATATATACATGGGCTGAAGTGATAGCACAGCGGGTAGGGCATTTGCCTTGCACACAGCCAACATGGCCGACCCAAGTTCGATTCCTCCGCCCCTCTTGGAGAGCCTGGCTAGCTACCGAGAGTCTCTCGCTCGCACAGCAAAGCCTGGCAAGCTACCCATGACGCATTCAATATGCCAAACACAGTAACAACAAGTCTCACGATGGAGACATTACTGGGCCCGCTCGAGCAAATCGATGAAAAATGGAAGGACCATAACATATATACATATATATGTATATATATATATACATACATATATATATATATATATATATATATATATATCCCTCTCTAAGATTGGTTACCTCCTATTTTGAACCCTATCAAATGTGGTACAGTAATCCCGGAGTATGGGTAGAGTATTTGGTTTGAAGTATTGTAGCACTTTTAAATGCTCTATTGTTAGCCTCTTAAATAGTAGACCTTAAAATTCTTTCGATAGTTTTCCAGGTGTCACCAAGAGTTAAGCCCGTCAGTCTGAGAGTTTCCTCCACTGCTCAGTCACTTACTAGAATCAACGCACACTGCTGGGCCTGGGTTCTGATGGCTGCAGACTGGAAAGAGACACACATCCACAAAGCACAGCAGGGACTGAGTCTCCACTTCCTGGAGATTTAACTGCTGCCCTAGGAAGTGAGTGGACCTCTGACCCCAATCTCAGGACCCCACTGCAGGTCACCATAAGGGGGAATCTGAATGAAAAAAAAAACAAGAACGCACAGTCCCCAAGGCTCTGCAGTCCAGGGCTGAGACCAGCAGCAAAGCTCCGGCCACCAGAGAGCTACAAAAACCAACACCACCACAGGCAAGGAAGGCCACAAGCCTGAAGATCATAGAAACTGTGAAACAAACCCTGACTAGGAGAGTTGCTAAGATGTGGGATATTTACAGGATAAAATATATTCGGTGTTGAAGAACTGCACTTAATCGACAAGGATAGGATAGAGGTGTGCAGAAGAGCAAGTAAGATGGACAAAATCTGTACACTGACCTAAAACAAAACAAAAATGCAGATCGCACCTCCCAAATGCATTATTAATATACAAGGATATTATCTAGGCAGATGAAAGTCTATGACGCAGAACAAAATGAGTTACAGTGGATTTCTATGAGGCGGAAATGAGAGGGAAGTGGTACTCAAGGTGCATAGCAAAGCCAAATAAAGCCCCACGCATCATGATTTGGCTCCGTGGGGTTAAGTTTATGCACACAGTATTAACTGCCAGGCTGTCACGATGGGTGACAAGGTGCTTGTCATAACTGTCTTGAGCATTTTGTAAATTTAATCTTTTTTTTAAATCCTAAAACAAACAAACCACTTGTACTGGAATTGGACACAGGTTCAGGTCCTGCAGGGCCAGTTGAGGATACCACACTGCCTAGAGCACAGGGCCAGGAACAAACTGGACTTGGGTCCTTGGTTCTGTAGAAACTGGTTGCGCAGTTTTACCTGGAGGCTGATCCACAGTCCCAGGTGAGAGACCTCCCTGCCCCTATGCATCTGGAGATGGGGACTTATGACTGTGCCTTGGGCCTAGCCGTGTTTAAGGGAGCCCAGGAAAAGGGAGGGAGGGAGGGAGGGAGGTAGCCCGCATCTGCCACTGTCACTGGCCACCTCTCTGCGCTCACAGTCAACAGGAAGCTGCTGCCCCATGGAGCCCAGAGCACCAGGGGTCTCTAAGCCCCTTTGCCGCCAGAGCTCTGCAGGGCGCAGGGTGGGCCCACCAGCCGAGCTCTCTTGAGCAGGCTGCAGTCCTGGCCACGGGCACCACTTCTTCATGTGGCACAAATGAGGCCCCTTTGCCCCTTTTTCTTTCTGAATCCTTGCGCCAAGGTAGAGTCACTTCAAGTGAAAGTCCCTGAAAGTCACATATGGCTGCTGTGGCTCCGTCAGAGGTTCAGGGCCTGTGGGGAGAGCTCTGTGGCTGGGACACCTGCCCTGCAAGTGCCAGGGCAGTCCCTGGGACTGCCAGGGGTGCCAGGAGAGATCCCCTCAGGGGGGCCAGCTGAGGTCCCCAGGACTGCCGGCCATTTCTGCAACTAGAGGGGTCAGCCTCATAGTGAGCACCCCCTACAAGATGTGTGAGCCAGGAAACGTGAGCCCTAGCAAGTGCCCGGTGAGCACTGCAGCAACCGACAGTGAGCGCCCCAACTTGAGGGTGGCCCCCTGCAAGCACAGGTGCCGGCACCGCCCTGGAAGGTGCACGACCCACCCTCAGTGAGCACTGTTGCCCGGGGAGCCCGCCCAGAGGCCAGATGGGGCATCCGAGGTGAGCACCAAAGCTAACGGTACAAGCACCACAGAGCCAGGCATGCATGCGAACCCCCATCACTGCTACAACAGGCACCAAGGAAGGGGCCAAGAAAAACGCAGAAATGTGATCGAGATTAGCGGGGGAGGGGGGCTTCCAACACAGAGGGTGGCTTCCAAAAGCGGGGTGCACCTCCTATCTCTCTGGAGAGCCCAGACACAATGATTGACAGAAACACCCACACACCCATGCCCCCACAAGGCTCCTGAGAGCAGCCAAGGGACGCAAGTGTCAGGTGCGTGCAGACAGACCAGCAAGTACAGCAGCAGTGGCACAGCCAGGGGATGGAGTAGCTCTCAGATCTAAAGAAGGATGGCATTTTGCCTTTTTGCCACAACACGAATAAAATGTGTGTGTGTGTGTGTGTGTGTGTGTGTGTATGTGTGTGTGTTTGGGGAGCAAAATACGCCAGAAGGGGGAAGGGAACTCTTGGAGGAGATGAGGCATAAGTGGGAGCCGAGGAACCAGGCAAGGTGCCCTGGAGGCCAATGGGAGCCAAGCTGGGAAAGTAGAGCAGGGGTTCATGGGGGCACAGGGGTCGCCAGGAAAGTGGTGGCGGGCATCAGCTGAGCCTTCTGCAGCCGGTACAGCCTCTGGCGTTAGGGCCCCTCACCTGCTCCTTCATCTGTGCGTAGACCTTCTCCGAGTTCAGCTCCACCTGCAGCTTGAACTCCTCCAGGGCCGCATCCGCCTGCTGGGCCTGCAAACGCTGGGCGTCCGTCACGCGTGTCAGTTGCTCCTCTCTCTCCCTACAGGTTACAGAGTCATTGGTAAATATTCACACACACACCCCCGCCCAGATCAAGATTTTAAACTAAACAATACTCCAAAATTAAACTCAGCTTTTGACTTCAAAATAAAATATCCGCCTCTCAAAAGTTGAGCAATAAAACTACCTGTCTCTGGAGGAAAGGGGAAGACGCGAGAGGGACTAGCTAAGGACATGGCCACTTTCAAAGGTTGTCCAACAAAGAACGCTCAGTGTCACCCTGGCCCTCCGCTGGTGGGGGTATGTCTATCTGGCCATGCCAAGGATACTGCTCAGCCTTAAAAAGTTCCGATACACGCTACGCAACATGAAGGAACATCACGGTAAGTGAAAGAAGTCAGAGACCAAAGGACATCAGCAGCGTAATTCCATTTATATGCAACATCCAAGAGAGGTCGATCTAGACAGACAGAAAGTATATCAGCTCTGGGGGACACAAGAGTAGCGTGGAACTGCTGATGGTGCGGGGGGGTTCTTCCATGGTGATGAAGGCAGCGATCAGACATGCAAATGTACGGGGGAGTAGACTGTAAGAAGATGGATTGTGTCCTACAGGAATTACAGTTTCTAAAGGATCCATCTTATTATCTCATTCCTACTTTGGACAAACTTGCAGGCTGTCGAATGTAGCCTGCCCACAGGGCAGAGTCTGGCAAACTCCCCGTGGCCTACCAAATATGCCAAATACCAGTAACAATGATGGGTCTCATTCTCCTAAAGAGCCCTGAATATAATCTCAGGGCTAGGATGAAAGAGACGTTACTGGGGCCTGCTCGAGGCAATCGACGATTAACAGGATGATGAAATGAAAATGAAATGAAAGGATCCAAGGTGCCAACAGAAAGGCTCCTGAGATGTTGTCCCAGAATCAGGTGACCGCCTACAGGATGAGAGAAGCAACAGAATGTGACAGTCTGAGGCTGTCCTGCTGGTCTCCTGTCTGTAGATTTGTCAGTGGTAACTAAGGACCATCTCATTTTTTCACACCTTGGACTAAAGTTAGTCAAAGGATAACACACGCACACACACACACACACACACAAACACGCGCCAAGAGAAAGAGAAAGAGAGGAGGGAGAGAGAGAAAAGAGAGAAAGAGAGGAAAAAAAATCTTTGTATGTTTTTAAAAAACAAACATGTTAGCTTTTTAAGTGTCTAAGAGTTAATAATGGCTACTGAATTCTAGTGCTGGAGATCTGGGATAGGGTGTCGAAAGTAGCCTTCGGCGTAACTGGGGGTCAAGTTCTGTTTGTTCCCTTAAAGCAGGAGTTTCAGGGGGCACTCCTGTTCTGCAGGTGATGGGAGGCCATGTTAGCTTGGGACCGTCAGGGACAGGCTCTGGGCACTGGAGGACAGATACCTTTGTATGTGCCCTCTCGTTTATTCTCTCAGCAAACAGGTACAAGAACATTACTGCGTCCCTTATTCTACCGAACAAAAACCTCAACTCAGTGACAATGCCCAAGGCCACACAGGAGAGGCAGGTCAGCCCAGGAGCCCAGGTTGGCTGGCTGCTCCTGGAGTCCATTCACATGCCAACATCAACTGCACTCTTGGTTTCATGCTGCCACCTTCCCAAGTCTGAACACGGGTGCCCCAAGCCAGAGGAGAGGTCTTCTGACAGACACACAGAAAGACGCTGGACAGGAACCAGGAGGGGGTCTGGACCCGAACATGAACATGCTGATTTCCTGGTGCGTGACTGTCCAAGCTTCCAAAAATTAAGAGGAATAAACCACAATGATGTATAAGCTACCTGGTCTGCAGACTTTCGTAGAGGAATTCACATGAACAGAGACAACCCAAGAAAGATGAGCACCCCTAAAGGGGAAAATACTCAAATATGCAACATTGCAGGTTCAGTGTTCATAGTAGCACTGAAATTGTGGGGACTGGGGGGCAATTTAACTCAGAGCAAATTTCAGAGTACCATCATGATGGAGGAAAAACATTTCTCCAACGACGATGCCATGTGCCTACAAGTGCAAGTGCCCCTCACTCCGAGCAGGCAGATGTTGAGCACCTGGGGTGGAGGGCCTTTGCTCTGGTGGGAGTGGTCCAGCCAACTGGTGGCGCTGATGGCAGGCCTGGTGTGCTCTCTACAGAGGAGTCTGTGACAAGGTCCTGAGGACATCACAGGGGCATCCTAGGGGATGGGACAGCAGGGCCAAGAGCTTTTTCCAGCTCTACAGACTGTGGCAATAGTCAGCCTCGGTTCCTCTTCAATTTGGGGGTGGGGGGAGGATCCCCTATAGGCACTTAATCAGACTGTGTCACAATTAGGGCTATAATTTTTCAAAGGTTTAGTTATTCTTTTTTTTTTTTTGTAGGAGTACTGCTATGTATTCAGCCACTGATTAGGCTGACTGAATTGGGCATGAACTCCAACAAGGGTTTCGTTATTCTGCTTGGTCAGCTGGTGTCTAAGTAGCAAAGAAACAACATCAGACAACACGTGTGAGCTTTGGAGCCCATGCGTCCCATAAGGAAGTACTATCAAGTGGTCAGGAAATATATGCTGCTGCCACAAACTTAGGACTACAAAAACCAAAATCACAACTTTAGCCATAGTTAGATGTATCTTAGAACCACGCTGAAAACATAAAAATAAAACCCGTGCAGTTAGGCATATAGCTCTTAATAACTCTTATTTTTAAATCCTGCTTTACAAAAAAAATAGTAGTTATGAATGTTCTTTTTGGAGGGGGCCTGCCGAAAGGTGCCTGGGGCCTGGTGACTTCTGGCCCTGCTGTGCCCTGTGGTCAGGCCCGGCCAGTGCCAGGAGCCAACAGGGACAGCAGGCAGTGCTGGGGACGGGAGCTGGGGCCTTCACAAGCCTCCACCCCTCTGAGGGGTCTCCCTGGCCCTCACAATCTGTGTTTCATGTTCTCATGAGCACAGGGAGGTATGTGAAACCTGCCAGTTTCTGACCCACACTCTCTGCTGAGCTCCTTTAGGACTGAAGCAAGGTATCAAAGCTGGTCTCATGAAGCATATATTAATGTTCCGGCACAGTGAGTCTATGACAGGGACCCGGAGCTTCGCTGTTTAGGCATCTTATTTCTTATTATAGAGAAATATCTGTCTCGATTTGATTCGATTCAAATAAAGAGATGATAATCATTTTAATGAGAGACCCTTCAGAATTTCTATTTAAGTCATGGGGGCGGGGGGGGGGGCCAAAAACTGTGAGCTTTTGGGAAAGAGAAAAAATGCAGTTCACTAACTTAAGAGCAGAATTCCTTTTGACAATGAATTCAAATCGTGTGTTTTGTAAGAAGTAAAAGGGAAAAAAAGTGACTTTGAAGATCTTTTTCCCCCAGTGGAACTAGTTGTGAGGCTGAGAAGAAATGCATCACTCAAATGCCTTAAAGCTGGCTGCCATGAAGATAAAAAGGTGGAAAGAAAATTTGCTTTTCAGCTCCAATTTATTTATAAAATGCAGTAAATTTTCCTCTTCTGCATATAAAAAAGGCTTTTTTAAAAAAAAGGAAAGAAACTGTATTCTTATAGAACTACAAGCCAGCTCAGATTAAAGGATGTTCTGAAGTACATGATTATTCTAAAAGGCAATAAAATGCAGGGGACTAATGGACCACAAGTCAGTATTTCTTGAGCTTTACAAGCTAACATTTATATATACAGGCCAACCTTAATTTGAAAATCTTCCCTTTGCACATTTCTCTCCCAGTGCTCTTAATAATGATGGCAGTGGTCCAACATATATTTATACGGCTTCCCATTACAGTACACTTCATTCGCTGCCAGCCTGGCTTCTCCACTGGAAACTCCACGAAAAACAAAACAAAACAAAACAAAACACTTCAAACAAGTCCAGAAAACAGCTACAAGAGTCTCCGTTCCCTTGCCAGCTGGGCCAGCAAACAAGCTTTTTGGGTAGTTCTGTCATCTATGTTCACGGCTGCTTATTGGTACTTAAATTGATTTAGAGTGAGTCCATCAAAAACGCTGAGATACATTTAGGACTTATGACTTGGAAGGTACTAAAAAATAATACCTTACACTAAACAGAAGTAAATAAACGTCTTTGGCCTCTTCTTCACCTGACTATTAAGATAGTCATCTCTGAGAAACTCTTTGATTTAAAAAAAAAAGAGTAAATGCAGGCCAGACAAGATAGCTCAGTGGACTGTCTGCATGCCGGGCAGGCAAAAGTTCGGGGTTTGACCCCTGGCACCACATGGTCTCCTGAGCATCACCTGGTTTCCTAAGCAACGCTCCAGCACAGCTCTCAGGGTAGTCCATGCACTGTTAGGTGCGGTCCCAAAACAAAAAAATAAAAATGCTAAATGCTATGGACACGTACATCTAAACATCTGGTACTTCACTTCCCGCCCCACCAAGGCCGGGAGTTGCCCCCCACAAGTGGCTCTCCAGCACAGCCATGGCCCAGAGAGGCACACAGACCTAATCAGAGCCCAGCAGCTTTTGGCAAAAATGTGAATGGACTATGCATTGAACTATGGTGCCATGCTCCCCCGGGAGGGAAAGGGTGTCTGTCTCTTCCACCATCTCCCCCCCCACCCCCCGGCAGCATGGTGGCCACCATCTCAGAGCTTATTGGACAGCCAGGTATAAGCTGGCAGTGATGGGGCAACTGCGGCCTCATGGGATGGGGGGCGGAACCAGAACGTCCTTCCCACCCCATTGAGGCTGAGAGTTGCCCCCACGAGCAGCTCTCTGGCACGGCCATGGCCCTAGAGGCACACAAACCAATCTCATAACTATATGGCTTTTGGCAGAAATCCCTCCAGACTTAATTAGTAAAATATCAGAAATCCAAAATCATATGGTCTTCATAACTAGCAATAGAAAAACAAATTGTTTCACAATGCCTTTTCAGCAGGTCTGATTATTGGGGGGAAAATTCCAAATAATAATGGTGCATCTTTTGTCGAAATAATGAATGTAATCAAAATAGAGAGTTAAGTGGAAATCATCTGCCTTACAGGCATTGGG